TGTGTACTCACATAGTTGTTCTAAAATGTTCTTCACACCTTCACCTTCATAACTCTTAGATATGTGATTAATCAGGCCAGAAAACTGATCCTTTGGGGTTTATTTCTTAAAATAACAGAGAATGGGGCAATAACATAGGAATGAGGTGACAAGAACAGGGATTACTTAAACATATTTGTCACTGAAAAAAATACATGTATATAACAGATTATATATATGTAATATATATGTATAATATCTACTTACACCCCATCTTACCACCTCATTAAATTGCCTCCCAACCACACCCAGTAGAGTCACATTGGGAACAAATGCTAAGGAAGGGGAAGGACTGTGAGGTAGAACAATAGATTAAAATCGATGTATTACTTACATAAGAGTTCTCATTTGAGCTCAAGAATGGAGGGTATATTTTCACACACATACATAATCTTCTGTATTTCTAAATAATGTACTTAAGTGATGATGCAAAACTAAATATTGGAGATCAGCTAGGCACCAAACAATGTTTTCCATATTGTTATGCCCGTTGTCTTGGTATTCCAATACCTATGAATTCGTCAATATTAATCAGTTCAAATCAATGTTTGAAGTATCTAATGATTACTCATGGAAAGAAAAAGATAGTACCCTAGCAGTTGAAGCTCCATTTATTGATCACTTAATCTTACATGCTTTTTCAGCCTGTAGCAATATGAAAAAAAATGGATTTTTTTTTAATTTGAAATCTGAGGTTTTCTATAAACATGTTTCAAAGTTTAATGGAGTCACTAATTTACATATCAGAGATACATACAGGAGAAGATAAAGGAAAAAACTTATAGATAGTGCATTTTCCTCCACCCAGTTACAGAATGGAGGCATGACAATTTACATTTCAGTAACCACAGCAGCTACTTCAGCCACTAATTTAAGATGAATTCCTGCTTCGTACAGAAGAAATGAGATTTTAAAAGTTAAGTCATCTAGTCTAAGGCAGTTGTTTAGGATATTTCTGTAATTTGTAGGTTGAGATAGACACCTACCTGAGGCAATTCACACTGGTTTTAGGATAAACAAGGCATTTGGGTCATTGTCTCTCTATTGAGAATAAACAGATTAGACAGCTAGTTTATATGAGGAACTTAATTGCTGTTAACAGAGACTAAAACCCAACCAGCCTCTTAAACAAGGAGAATTGTAGCACAAAATTCAATGCAAAAGTAATTTAAATGCAAAAACACTTATTATGTTCTTATTATAATGAAACCATTGGAATAATGAGATATAAAGCACATTTAAAAAAATACACAATTATCACTGCCAATACAATTCATTATCAAAGATTAAGTAGATTTTTCCTTTGAGGCACATCTCTACCTCATCCTTCCTCATCTCTCCATCAATTGAGCTTATCAGACACCCTTTATGTCCCCTCCTCAGGAATCTCATAACAGGCTCCAATGCACCCTGACATGGAGATAGTCATGTCTACAGAGGCCTCAGCAACAAACTATTTAAGAGACAACAGCAAAAGCATTAAAATATCCCTTTCCTGTCCAGATTGACAGATTAATCCTTAGAGGTGCAAGGCTTAGGTGAAAAAGAAGTAGTTTCATTTGTGCTAAAATAAAGTCAGGAAGAAACAAGAGAGGTATCTAGGCCTAGCACAGGAAATCCCTGTGATAAATAGCAAAACAACCCACATGTAGAAGAAAGACCTACCATCCTAATCAACAAGATTTCAATTAGAAATTCTCTCACTAACATTTGGAATGGCAATCACATCTCCAACAGTGGCCCAAAGACTGGGACTGTAGAAATCCTGAACATTGCATTTCAGCAGTAACAGAGACAGAACTCTAAGGGAACCTCTCTGGATTTTTGGAACCACTGAGGAGGACACTGAAGATGTATCAGGCAGCATTTATGGGCAGAGGGTTGCAACCCTCACATACCTTGAACTGGGAACAAAAACCTGTTCTCTGAACTCCAGCAAGTAGCTCACCAAGATTGGCACTGAGACCTGAGCTGAAGAGGACCAGAATGCTGAGCAGGGAACTTAAACCTCCAGAGGCAGATCCAATTCATTATTTTATTCTGAACAAGATGATGGAAAACAGGTGAAGAGAAGGGACAATAAAAGGGGAGGAGAAAACTCTCCGGTGGGAGGAGGTATGGGATTGCCAAATGCCTCCTTGTCTCCCTGCTAGACAAAACTTACTTGTTTACCACCCTGAATGCAGAACTGAAAATGCTAGGTGTTAAAATGTTAACAAAAGGAAGAAGAGTTTGAGCAAACCATGAGGGAAAATCAAGGGTGTGTTGATAAAAGCAAATATAGCAGCAAGGAAACATACAGGGAAAGACAGTGGATGCTACCTAGGGAATAGTAAAGAAGCTGACATGAACGTCAAGAAACCATCAAGAAAAGATCAAAGTGTAAATAAGATCATAGGGGTCTTTGTTTATTTTTACAACTTGTTTTATGTGGCTTTTATCTGTGTGGAGAAAATAAATAAATAATCTTTCTTTTGAACTTTAATAAACTCACAGATTCCAGGAACAAAAGGGCTCCTAGGTAGCAATCCCTGTTGTTTCAACAAGAGGAACAAGGGGTCTGTCCCCAGAGACTCCTCCAGTAAAATGTGGGATCATTCATCTACAATAACGTGGGCTTCCTAGACACTGAGTGGAGCATTGACTCCCTATATAAAGGAATGTTTAATCTAGCAGACAGAAGTGGAACAAATCAGGCATAATTTGAAAAGCAAAACAGCAAGTTTGTTTTTTCTTAAGTGGGTAGGTACGAATATAATGGATTCTTTAATACACAAAAGCTGCAGAGTGACTGGTAGCTTTCCTAGGGAAGGCTTGTGTATCAAGTAGACATTGTGGTTTATATAGGAACCAGTGGGCAAAATTCTGAGCACAGCCACCATTCTTGGTTTTCTGGTCTCTGCACTGAGCATCTCAGAATGATGAAGAGTACCTTAAAGCATCTAAATGTGTTCCTATGAAAGGTGTCTTTAGTTATAAACATACCTTAACAATTTCACATCATGGGCATGCTATGTAGTTGTCCTGTTCTCTATCCAAAAATATAGAGCAATTTAAGATTTAATAGTCTCCAAGACAGTGACTTGACTGTCTCCAAGTCACTGCCCTGTAACTGAGGTGTGAGAAGCATTTGAGAGCTCTAGGTAGGTTTATGTTCAGTGTGAAACAGGTTTGTCTAAGTGTGCAGACCCCAACATCATCATCCCCAGCCCCAGAAGACCCACATGCTGTTGGCAATCAATAGAGGTAACAATTCAGCACGTGTGTCATGCAACATGATTTTGAGCAGATTTATTTAAAAGAAGCCTGACACTAATGGCTTGCAAAAATAGACTTCCACTGTTCCTGGTATTGATGGGGCAGAATTGATATTAACAGTGGCAAGGCTTAAAAATTTCTCTAGTGAAATTCATAGTAAAGCACCATAGGGGAAACTGAGCTGCAAAAATGAAGAACAGTGACAGAGACCAAACAATGGTGAAACATTGACAAAAAGGAACAATTTGGGACTAAACTAATTGAATCTGACAGATATGCATTTTCACAGACTAATCCCTGGAAAGCATATTCACAGGTAAAAAGTCATTATTTGAAAATTTAACCTCAGACAGGTGGTTCTTATTTCACAGACTCACAGAAATGCTTGGGTTTCACTAGACCAAGTTGCTCAAAGCCCCATCCAACCTGGCTTTGTGTCAGCTAGAGTAACAACTTAATATTTTGACCTGAAGAAATATTCCTATAGACACCTGATTCTGAAGAAGCATGAAACAGAACTACTGATGAAAAAAATGACATTCATAACTAGTTTATACTGAAGCTTAGATACAGCCCTGAATGCAATTTAAAAATAAATTTTGGACAATTTTTTGCAGTTTGCCAGAAGTGATCACCACTGAAAAACAATTTCAGAAAGAAAAGTGAAACTTGTCACCAAAGAGATTTTCAATAAAGAGTTCCAGGAAGGGAGACAGTTTTTAAGAAGACTTTTCAAAGCAGTTGAATTTTTAATATATAACTAGAAATCACTAGCTGGCTGTTATGAATTAGGGTGTTTCAATGATGCCAGAGCAATTTAAACCAAATATTCATACTTTAATGGATCCATTAAGTCTATTTTTTCAGTATTCATACTTGAGCATAGATGAGATTGCTAATAGATTCTACCAGGCTTCTCTGGAGCCAGATTATTTTACTGATCTAAAAATGAAACCCGGGTTAAGGAAAGACACCTACTTATAGAAAATATGGACATTTTCTGACCAACTTTGTGAATTCATTGACAATGAATCTGCAGTTCAAAGACCTCTCAGCATGAAAGGGCTACAGATTAGGAAGTGCTATCAGAACTACTATATAAAAGAAGAAAGTATTATGGTTATCACAAATGCATAAAAATTTGTCACTTTTGTAAAAGCAGTCACCAAAACAGGCACAAAAGAGAAAACAATCCTTTTCAAAAACAAACACATTGGTCTCTGGATACAAAATTCAAATCAATTAACAACATGATATTATATGACCATCTGGTTAGACAAGGGATAGAATAAAGAGATTTTTTTTTTTTTACACCACAAAATATGCTGGCTATGTGAGGAATGACCTAAGATTACATGGCAGGAGATAAATCAGCTGCTCTCTCACTCAGAGTCACAGAGATGTTCCTTAACCTATGGAGCAGAAATGCCAGGCTAAGCTGGCACCAGGGCTGACTTCTCTCATCACTGCTCCTCTGAGGGTTGTTCCTGCACATCAGTGTCACAACTGTACCTCAGATGTCTGAGCACATCCCTACCTGGCAAGTGTCCAACTGCACCAGGGATATCACATTGATCCCCATGGTAATCCTGGTGGGCACCCATCAAAGCTGTAAAAGCCTGATTTTTTTGAGTGAAAAACCTAAAAAAATTGCTTAATTCTGAACAATCTAGTAATTGAACTAAAAGTTGTAATTTACTTACTCTTTTTGTAACAGCTCTGGATTGACTCCCAGAATAATTTCCCGATTCTTTCTCATTGACAGAGAAGCACTTTCCATGTGCCTTTGTCATCTCCATATACCTGAAAAAAAATATGCAAGTTAAAGATGCAAAACAAAACAATTAACTCTCAGTACTCATTTACAATGCATCTACATTAGCATTTTAATTTAGATCTAGAGAAGCCCCTTAGAGGCAGGTCTCCTCCCCATCCCCACTTTCCACGCTCCATTTCACCCACCAGTCTCAGAACTGGATTCCTTCCCCATAAAGTTGTGTGGCAGCAACACATCTGATGTTGCCCAACCACAAGTAAGACATTCAGTCTACAGATCACACATGATCCAGCCAAACACAACCCACCGGGCTGCACTGAGTGGGCCATCAGCATTAACTCCTTTGCCCTCTTGAGTCTCTGGGCCAATCTTTGCCAGACTGTCTGGGAAATTCCCACCATTTCTCCAGCACTTTTTGGCTTGCAAGAAAGCAAGCAGGGATTTGAAAACTCTGTAAACATTGCTATTGAAAGTAAAAGGTGACATGAAAATATTCTTAATATTTGGTTCACTTACAAAATACTACAGTACACTATGGAAAAAATACCAAATATAAGGAGGTTTCTTGTTTATAAAAATTTTCCAAATTATCTTAGTTATATGAGCCTAACATTCCCTTAATCCATCAGATATTTTGCAAATTTTAACTTCTGTACTTCACAGTTTAGGCTCAGAGCAACTACATTTTTTTCCCATATGAGAAAAAACTTCATAATGGGGTTTTCAGCATAATGACCAAAGCAATGCAAGGCAACACAGAATTCAGAGTTTTCTCTGTGTGTTAGCACTGAGCTCTAAATATCAGCCTATAAGTGCTGACATCCTTAGATGTTCAACAGGTAAGGACTGACTTTCATAACTGTGATGCTCACTCTTTGCAACCCTTTTTGTTTGTTTGTTTGTTTTTTCTTTTAGAAGGTACCCAAATGGGAAATAAAACATTTCAGTTCCCTGTGAGGACAAGGGTGATTTTATTGCACATCACCTCACAAAAGACAACCACAGCCATGCCTCAAAACAGCACATCTCAGAACTGGAAAGGGCTCTGGCTGAAAAACAACATGTGTTCAGCCTTAAGACTACACTTATCCAGGATCTTCTGCAGCCAAGACCAAATGATCCAAGGGAAATCTCCAGAGGGAAAATATTATAGCTGTTAAAAACTATATGCAGAGGACTGTAGCAGTGCTTCAAGCAAAGCACTTGAGTCAGATATGACTCTAAAATTGCTGCAACAATCAACATATCAAGAGCTCCAGAACTTTTATCATTTAAGTTAATGTGAAGATTCTTTTAAGAGAGGGAAAACAAACATTCATTCTCACCAATTTAACTTTTCTTTCTACATGTCTACTTTTCCTTCGTATTACAGCATCCAGGTAGAAGAAAAATCAGCTAAAATGAACCCATCTACTGCCAGACAGATCTTAATCTATTCAGAAAAGATCCAGACTGTTTGCTATATATAGTAAGGACCACATGGCACAAAAAATCCAAAAATGTCTCTATTTTCAGTGTCTTTTTTGATACATTCAATGTATTTCTTGAAGAAAATTTAAATATTTCATGCAGTCTCTAAAATATCACTAATCCAGAGCATAACTGTATGTTTAAACCCATTCTTACAAAACTAATTCATTTAAAATAAAACTTGTTCAAGGGTCAGATGGAGACAGTTTTCTGACAAAAGTTTGTACATTAAACGCAACTAGTTCAAGACCAAAGTCTTAGAAATTGTCTTTTATATTTGAGGTTTTTTTAAGAAATATTAACTTCAATCAGCTCAAATTAACCAGTTCACCAAGCTGTTGTTGAACAAAATGAAACCTGCCACCCAAAGCTTCCAGTTCCCATCTTTATTCCATTCTCAGTGCTGCAAGCAGAAGTCACCTAGAACTGGTGCACCACAAATTTTTCACATTTGATGAAAGGCACAAGTCAAAACAGATACACAGACCACACATAAAGCTTATTCTTTAGACGTCACTATAAAGTGAAAATTCAAGGCTAAAGGGCAGTTTACAATCTTTCAACTTATTTCAGAACTGGAAAAAGGGAAAATGGGATGTAGACCGTCACTTGTTTGTTGTTTTAAGTAAATGCACATCACACATAAATCTGCACACACATTTATATGTGTGTATATATATCTCTGAACTAAAAAATAATTTAGAAAAAGTGAACTATTTTTAACTGAAAGTCTGGGTTTTTTCAGCTATATGCTCTAAGTTGAACTTTTCAGTTGTAATTATTGAGGAGAATTAGGCCATTGGTGAGAAACACCAGTCAGTGCAATTTCATCAACTAAATAATGCCACTTCTTGATGAAAAAAATCACAGGTAAGCAGTGGAAACCTCACTACACAAAGAACTAAAAAGCTTGGTGCTACACTCTGTGACTCCTGGGTGTTTGGAATTCACCTAAACCAGCAGATTCCGCTGAAAGGTGCAATTTTTAGCATTTCTCTGTGCGTAACTATAATTACCCTTTAATGTCATACAAAAGAAAATACTCTGTGCACAAATCAGAGCCAAACAACCTTACTCTACAGACCAGGATCTATATTCCCTGTAGACATGACCTCACATCTTGGCATTCCACAGAAGTAAGCACTGGCACTTCAGGACACCCCAACCTGCGGGTGCAGGCACAGGAGGATTAAAGCAGAGCGTGCTGCACAGCATTTATGTCAGGAATGCTTTGTGCCTTGTACTCTTCATTTATCTCAGTCTTTTTTAACCACAGAGTAAGCTTCCCTACCTACAGTATGGCTTGGTCATATATGATTTAATTAAGAGTCAGTCTGCACACAGACAATGCTCGATTCAGGGACGATTCCCAACGAAGAGCCAGCTGTGTCTGTGCTGGGGAGTGGTTAGACAGGTATTCACTGGGGACTGGAGGGGAGGGGGGGAGTGCACAGTGAAAGAAACTTTTTGCCTTGCATCTATTTTCTAACATACTAAGAAATGACCACGAACCAGAGAACAGCGACATGAAAAGCAGCCATAAATCAGAGGTCAAAATTGCACCGAAATCCAATAAAGAAGCATCTCACTCAGCAACTCAGCTCTGTGTGCAACCACATTTCCTCACCCTCCCCTTGTTTTCTTTTTAAAATTAAAACAGTTGACCCTGTGAGGTGTTAGCCACTTGAACAATCCTTATATGGGACTTGTCTGAATTTCTATGGAGGAGATGGAAAAAATTCTCATGAGAAACAAGTTTTGAAAAAAACACGTTTGGTTGTTGCAAAATACAAGTCTGATGGAATATAATTGAAGCATAGCTGTGAAGGAACATGAGCATATACAAGATGTTTCAATCAAAAGTTATTCAAGCTCATCATCAAAACTTACTCCTGCTCATACTAAAGGTTCTATCGTAATCTCTAAATAAGTCCACAAATGTAGTGCTGATGTTTATGTAAAATATGTTTTATTCAATCTGGGCTTCTTATTCACAGTGTGTAATTTTTTTTCAGCATATTACAACATGCCCATCATAAATACCTCAAGAGACTCCAATCCTAATATAAATTTAAAAAAAAAAATCAGAAATGCTACTTAACGGCATTTTTTTCTTAGCAATCATTTCAAGTCTTCTGAAGACTAAAATGTTCACAGAAACAAAAAAGTGGAAAAAAAAAGTTTACTGCCTGCTGGCAGGTAATCTCCTCTTGTAACTTTGAGATTAGAAGTCTTCTCCTGACAAAAAAGAAAAGCTTTTCACAAAAAGTGTTAACATTTTTAGAAGAATATTGACTCCACACTCAGATCAGGTGTAACAGAGTCATCCCAAATTTAAAAAATAACTGAAGACTTCTTTTTTTTTTTAAAAAAAGGTGACTTATAAAAGATGAAAATTGTCTTTGTGATAGAGAACATTCCAACACATGCTCTTAATAAAAATGAAAAAAGGTTTTTTCAGTGAATTGTTGATGTACTTCAAAAAAAACATTTCTGTAACTCTCAAAAGCTTATAAGAAAAATATCTAATCAGTGCTAAAAAAGTTTTCTTTCAAATGCTGGGAAGCAATACCAAAGCCTCAGAAAGCCAAAAAAATAATCTGATGTGCCTGACAATTACAGAAATATACACCTAAATTATATGATTAGATGCCTGCCTGGAAGAGGTGGAATAGAGTCCCACCACACCAGGAGGTGGAGTGGGCTTGCATTCACAGCCATACTACAGCTTACCTAAGAAATTACGCTGCTTTAAAAGCAGATGGAATATTCAAAATATCTAAAGCTGGCCCCAAAAGTTCCAGAATTTCCAATAAAAAAGCCCCAACAAAACACAAGCTCAGACTTTTCCTTCCATTCCAGCAGCACCTGGAGCCCCAGTTCCACAAAGCATTCCCAAGTGCAGTTCCTGAGGCAGCAGGTGCCCTGATGATGGCCTGGAGAGATCACCAGCCATCAGGAACAGCTGCAGTTTACACAGCAGGACCCTCCATGATGCAAGGTCAAAACATGTTTTCTTACTGATTAATTCAGGAAAACATAAGAGTTAACATAAGTGTGTATTGATAGGAATGTGTTTTAGCTTCAGACAACAGTTCATTCTGAATGCCAATTAAACTCTGATTATGGATTGGTTTTGGTTGCAACAAATAACCAAGTACGAAAGTACAGGTCTAATTTCCAGGCTGTGTTTCTCTCTAGGTACCACATTCAATCACTTCACAAACACATAAAGAAATAAGGCAAACTAAATAACAAGATTTTCAACCTGCAACATCTGCAAGCTCTATTCCTGAAAGCAAATTATTCCCAGGCTCATTCTGACAGGCACCATTACGGTTTTCTTTATTCTCACTGAAGAGTTTCTTAATTCCACAACATGAAAAAAATTCCCAAACTGAACAACTGTGACTGATTTTATAACATGAGGTGTTCCTCAGGGTTATTTCACTCCCTATCAGAGCTTAGGTAGAGCACTGTGATCAGAACTGAGGAGGTTCTCTTCATTTTCTGAGGGTTCAATATCAAACATTCAGCTTTGTAATATCTCCCCACTCACACACAACTAAGCTGTGAGTGCTTCCCAGGGACTTCACCAGAAACAGCTGCCAAATGACACCAGCACAGTTTGACCTGCATGAAACTACTTGTTGTCTTCTCCAGCCAAGAAATGAAAAATATGAGGGCTTCTTTTCCAAAACAAAGCCAGAAATCACCAGAGTTTGTCATACAGCAAAATGCCGTAATACAAAAAGGAAACATTCTGCTTTTAGAACAAGACTTTCCTAGAAGAGACAGATCATATGGCAAGTTGATTTCCTGAGTGTAAAGGATTCCTGTATGTATATAACAGATGCCCAGTACTCAGTGCATTAACGTGCCATTGGAAACAATTAATATCTAAAACTTGGATATTAATCCACTTTCTTTCTGTGGAAGAGTGAAGAAAGTGGAAGAAGACACAAGTTTGCTGTTATGTACCACAGTTACAGAAACAAGATTAAGAGTTATCATTATAGCAATGAAACCACTAAAGGCTAAGTTGGAAGAAAGTTAAGACAGTAAATTCCCAAAGTGCTTCCAAGCTGTTTGTAAAGTTGACCCAAACCCAGCAAAGTGCTTCTGTTCTCTTCACTTCAGCCTGCTGGACTCCATAGCAGGAATCCAGGCAACACTGATTTAGGCAATTAAGAGCAAATCTTTTTGTGTAAAAGTCATCCTGAATTATTTTAGCTCTCACATAGGCTGTCCACCAGTCAAAGTGGATACCCATACCCACAGGTATAGTGGATATGCAACTAATCAAAGAGTTTCTTAGAATATTTGTCTATCAAGGTAAGGTTGATTAGAGCTTAGGCAGTATTTTCCCAGATGTATTAATATCCTCTCTTATGAATACTATAAATGTTCAAACAGTTCTTTAAATGTTCCAACAAAGTCTTCAAGGCAGTGCTGTTTAATTCCATAGAATCTAACTTTCATAAAAGGAGTTTAACTATATATATATGGCCTGCTCACTGAGTTTTAAAACTAATTAGTGAAATTAATTTATGACATGTATTTTAACAACTTCAGTTTAAAAACTGATAGAAACCGTCCCAGATAATGAGAAACAAAGCCTAATTCTGAACAACTACACTTCAGAATTCCTAAAGGTATATACAACATTACCAAACAGAAGATATTTTTAATTAAGATATCAGACCATATTAGTTGAATATGAAACATACCCTGGACACAAATCCTGTAGCAGACCTGGGTTTGTAGGAAGCTCTGGTTTATACACAGAGCTACAAAAGACCTCCAGTTCCTGCTTAGCTTGTGACAGTAGAAGAGGGAACCACACGACCTCTAGAGCTTTTGGGCAGCTGCTTGCATTTCATCAATCAGCTTCCTCACCTGAGCAATTAAATTACAACGGTCACTGGGAGGAGCTAATGTTCATGTCACCCCTATCAGATCCTGCCTCACACACCTGCAGAAAATATGGCAGGTTTACTGGTTCCAGTTTGGGAGGGCACAGAATGTGTAACTTCTGCATATCAAGGAATTTCTAATACAGATGTATGGTTATGTTTTAATGCTTCTAGAGGAACAAGAGGCATAACCATAGGCAAAACCACAGTTAAGAGTGGCAAATGCAGGGAACAAATACAGTTTTCCTCCCCCTTTATATCACATAAATCATCAGTAATTATACACTTAAAATGATCTTTAATAACTGGAAAAAACACATTCATTATTTCCAGAATTTGCAATTTACAGTCTCTGTATCCACAGACAAATGGCATACATTAAAATAAAGGAGAAAAACATAGTTCTTTAACTCCTAACAAAGTTAAATGTATAAACTGTATGTTTGTTTAACTATATTTAGCACATATTCTCACAGCTTTCATTAGAATATTTTCAATATTTTTACACATCTTTCAAGCCATGTTTTCATTACAATAAGAGCCAGATACATATCCTTTTTGCATTTGGGAAGAGAGAATGTCTCAAATCAAGGAAGTATAGAAGACATCTAAACAAATAAAAATCACCTTTGCCATGCATTCAAATATCAACATCACCCTTACAATGTCCTTTGAAAAAAATAAAGGTAGCCTTTCCAGTGGTCAGTGTTTATATTTGACAGACACAGTAACCACATAGTTACAGTTTAGGATTTACCTTTTTGGAGCTGTTAAATACAGCTGATTGTGTTAACTGTGTAACCATCACTGTCATAATGTTAAATTTTGTAAATGGTTCAGAAATGCTGACGAAATCAGCCTTCAGAAAGGGCTGACACCAGCAGGATGCTCAAAACAGGGACACTCACAAAGAGCCAGCCCAAATGCTCTCAAACTTCTCGGTTGCAGAAATTTCAGGTGTCAGAATTGCAAAGTCTTACCAGTCATACACCAGTTATATAATTCAAACACAGGAACACAATTAAGGAGTTACTTTTCAGTGTGGAAGCATCAAACTTTGTCTCTCAGTTGGAAATGTAAGCTTTACATGTACAAACACAAAATACACTGTTTGAACTGATGCCTCCAGCTGTCTCCATTTCTGTTCCTAAATTCATTTTTCATAAGTAATTGTGCCTCTAACTGAAAGAAAATGAGATTACATATACCATTGGTTTTCATGGCTTTGAAGAAATGACTGGGGCAGACTGTGCATGGCAACTCAAGAGTCACAGCTTTGTATTGTGTGGGCAATCACATGATTTTACTGCAGAGTATTTATGTACAAGAGAAAAATATACTCACACCATCAAGGCAGCTGTGAAGTCCTGAATTGCACGAGACTCCTCAGTTTTATTTATCCTGTCTTCTGTTTGAAGGACACTGTAACACATATTGAAGTGAAATGTTTTCCAACAGCTGGAACAGACTCTTCTTCTTTGTTGCTACATTACATCTCTTATTCTATTCCATTATGAGTAAAAGATATCAGTTTTGAAAACACAAAACCTTTTTGCTGCATATTAAAGAAAGAATATGGATGTTGCCACATGGTGCTCAACCCAGCCCAGCCCAGCTGAGTCTCTGGCAGTGACTCCTTGCTGCAAAACATCCTGTAGATAAGTATTGGCCCTGCTGAATTAATGACTTAGTACACATTTGTACCCCACATTATACAAAGTTAGATCTCCTGAAGTAGTAGATAACAAGAATAATCTGCTTATTTATGGTTATTTTCAAACAACAAAGATACAGTGATAACTTGTAAAAGTGAGTTCTGGAATTTCATTATTTACTCAGAAGAAAAAATGTAACAAGCTTTGTTTTTGTTGAAGTTCATCTTGTACATCTATTTTATGCATGGGGTTTTTTATAATGTTATTTTTATAATGTTGTTTACAATCTTTTATTTCCATCCTAGTTGAGTCACAGTCTTTTCATTTTTACTTTAAATAAAATACTCCTACTCTTTTTGAAGACAAAGCTTTAAGCCAGCTGTATTTTTACTATTCCTTTCTTTCCTATGCCTGTGGAAAAAAAAATACAAAATTTCAAATTATGGCATTTATATAACAGCATTACAGTATTTTGCTATCATTTTTTTTCCTAATTTTATGCAGTGCCAGAGTTGACTTCCTTCCATTACTCTCATTCACTCCAGCTCAGAGGGATTCCTAGATTATTTTTACTGAGCAACAACAATCCATTTTTAAATCAACAACTCTTAAAACATAAAAATAATGACAAATATTCTTTCAATGTAAATCACATTTGCTACTAACGCATTTCGGTTTTTTAATCATCATTTCCATTTCCTTAGTTTTCTTAGGTTTCTCTGAACTTCTATGATCAATGTCCAGCCTTAAGCACAGTCAGAAATTCTACATTCTACTTGTGCATTTTTTCTACTTCAGGATATTCTGTACCTTTTTATTTTTTTGCAAATATAAGCAAAGCATAAATACACAGCAATACATTTTTAGCATTAAGAAAAGTGAGTAGTGCTGTACTTATAAATCCATATATGCAAGTGTTTGCACTCATGCCCACATACAAATATACATCCACAAAATGATGCCAAAAGTAATGTAGAGCTTTAGTTAACTTTTTGACATCTTAAAAGCATCTACTATTGTCTCACTTCTCTCAACAATGTCTTCTGCAGAAAATATAGGAGAAAATATATTTAGGCATTAGGTTGATTTCATGACTCTGCATCACTGGATATTGAACATGAAAATACAGCAGTAGGAACTCTTCAGTAAGATTATTTGATTTTCCTCTAGCAAAGGTATTTGAGAAAATAATATAAATGTTACTTATGATGAGATCTGGCAGAGCACTTTGCAACATCCAGTTTTGTGTGGATGTGGATGTTTAATGTAACTTTTCAAATGAACAGTCTGAAGGAATAGTTCAACTTCAGCATTAAGATTTCCCTGAGAAAATATTTTAGGAACTGGACCTCTATTATTATTAAAAAAAAAAAAAAAAAAGAAAAAGAAAGAAAGTTATTTCTTGGAATATTTCTACAATTTTTCTTCAGTTAAACATTCCCATTATAGTAGCAGAAAAATTTTCCTGGAGTTCCTTTTTGGTGTTTTAGTTGCTTATGTAGCAGGTCATTCCATTAGGTAACCCTCCAAGTGACCCAAAGGAGATATATTAAAATCTGGTAATACAATACCCCTGGACTATTTTACATAATAAGATTTTTTTTCCCCAACTCCCAGATGTTGCTAAAGGACAGAAAAAAAAAAAAAAAAAAAAAAAAAGACCTGTAAAATTCTTCATCATGAATCTTTTTTTTTTTTCTGCAAATCCCTTTTTTCCCCCCTTTCAAAAGCAATTCTGAATAGAGGTAAAAGAAGACAAAACTTGACCTTTTGTGATCCCAGCATTAATAGGTCTGTTCATAATTCAATCTGTGTGTGTGTAGAAGCATCCATGTGGAAACATGCAGGCCTGAGAGACATAAAGCCTTTCCCTTTAAACATTATCTGACCCTATGAGTCTGATTCACAAAAGAAGGCTTACGTACGCATAAGTTGAAAAAAATGCATGCTCTCATTGTGCTGCAGAGAGCCTACACATTTTACTCCTCATTCTCCAGGAAAACTCATCATGGAAGTGACACTTGTACAGGAGTTGGGTGAGGGAATGGCAAAAGAACACAACGTGGAAAAAAACCAAAAAACCAACCAAACAAACAAAAAAAAAAAACCAAAAAAAAAAAGCACATGTGAAGAATAAGCTTCTTTTCCCATTACAAATATAGGAGGGTCATCTCCTTGGCTGGCATGTGACAGGGTGAGGGCATGGATGGGAGAGGACTGTGTGTTACAGCCTTGCAAAGCTCTACCTGATGAGAGCAGCACGTTTTTCTTGCTATATTAAAGCTGTTTCCTTCCTCCATAATCTACGTTCACCAAGGTGAGGGCTGTGTCAGCTGCACCTGGACTGATGAATATTTATCATGCAATGTTTATAATGTCATAGATTCTAATGAATGATTATAGAGTCCATTGGTTTTGAGGTAGCTCTGTAAGGTATTTTAGAACTTAAAGCCTATTGATGCCACTGCAAACCTACAGCAAATAAGAGTACCAGGTATTTATATCATGTCTATACAGAAAGTCCATCTATTATCAGTATCTGTTCGTGCCTCTCCCGTTTAGTTTGGCTCTGGAAAGTCAGCTGGCAGCTTAAATGCTCTGTTACTCTGAGCCCACTCATGTTATCAGAGAGTGCCCTGAGCCACTTTGCAGTGAACCTGTCAATTGAAACCTGAACAGGGGGCAGGACACACACAATTGTGACAACAGCAATAAGAGTTTACATTTGGTGAAACAAATCCTCAGCTGGTGTAGATCAGCCAAGCTACAACAACTGCAGTATTGATTTAGAGCAGGATCTCAGCCCAGCATCTGTAATTGTTTTCTAAGCAAGGCAAAACGAACAGCATCAGGAATCATGAAGACTTTTCTTAGTAAGTAATGACTGAAGTAATGATGACTTCCCCACCAAAGATTCCAGCATTTTCCTCCCCAGTAGAGAGGAAATACTGCCCAAATCTTGAAAATCACATTGTGCACTTCTCTGCACCTGCATATGCCCAAATACTTTCAAAATACAGCATCAACAGCACTCACCTTTGAGAATCTCATAGGAAGAATGCTAAGGAAGGAAAGAAATGGAATTTCACGGCCCTTTATTGCTCTAATTGTAAAATAGAAGCAAGACTATTCAAAAGGTAATCAGAAACCAGAAAAACATCAAAAGTAAGGCTGTGATGGTGCCACAATTAGTTTTTTTTTATTATGGGTGCAAATATTCAGATTTAGCACCTTTTAAATAATACGAAACATATCATGTATCCCAATGATACCAATTGTGTTAAACCAATTGTTTGAATGCATAATTAAGTTGTTAGTGAATAATAATCTAACCTTGGGCTGACTAAATATATCTACATTTTATTGTTTTTCATAACACATATGATAATTAATATGCCCAGTCATTTACTGAATACCTTCTATTCAAATTACACTTATAAGAAATTGTTTAGTTAGACCAATTTCAAAAGTAAGGAATATTTAAAGACAAAGCTGGCCACTTGACTTGGAAGTACCACTGAATTAATTTCAAACATAAGGAATATTCAAAGATAAAGGGGCTGACATTCTCTGGGGGTGGATGTCACGATTCCAAAGAGAACCAAAGAACTGTGACCACCTTGCAGGCAGCACTCACTTTGCAGGCTGTGCTGCTCAGTTCAGCTCCTCACTTCCTCCTGGTTGTCCACAGGTTAAAGCTGCTCCCAGGTGCAAAGGTGCAAATGTTCAGACTCACAAATCCCAGAATCAATTAGGCTGGAAAAGACTTCTGAGATCATCAAGTCCAACCAAACACCACTGTGTCAACTAGACCATGGCACCGAGTGCCACATCCAGCCTTTCCTTAAACACCTCCAGGGACTGTGACTCCACCACCTCCCTGGGCAGCCCCTTCCAAGATCCAATCACCATTTCTGGGAAGAAATTCTTCCTGAAAGAATTCCAAGAGAAGCATGTCTGTTCCCAGACGAGGTGTTTGAGCACTGGGTGGTGCAGTACCTGTCACCACTCCCACACTTTTTAGCGTGCCAGAAGTCTTTAGGAGGAGAGGTAAAACACCCTGAATGGTTCTTGCATTTGATTCACAATATTAAAATAAATCAAGTGGATTTGTATAGCTGGGTTGTTAATTTTCAAGCTCCATGCAGAAAATGTAGTGTCCCTGAACTAACTGAATGACATTTACTGGAAAATCTGAAGCATCTAGAACCATAAACATATTTAATATCTTGCCCACGATACATGGTTCTTTCTCTACCTAAATTTCATTGTTCCTTTTTATTTTCATGGCCTTCTAAGCATTTGTGGGGAGGTTCTGGGCATATTTTTGTTATGGTAATAATAAATAGCATTTGTCTTCTACCTCCATATTTCTGTTAGTAAGTGATGGGTCATTAAGAGCTTTTTTTCTTTTTTTTTGGTACTTGCTTTTAGCAGGCAGAGATAAAATCACTAAGTACATGAAACTGGAAAAGCTATTCATGCCAACTTCAGGCAGATAGTTTAGGATTTCTGCCAAAGCAAGGAGATCAAGACTGAGGTCTACATGGATCTGTTGTTTAGTGAGTCAGTTTTATTGAAGAAAAATATGTGTTAGAAATTAGTAGATGACAAGGAAAAGTAATGTTACTGAGACAAGTTATTGGCAAATACAAGTTATTGGTAGGGAAATGAAGTATCATTGATATAATTCTAAAAATATTTTTAATTACTTCAGGAAATGAAATGTTAATACATATTTACTAGTATCTTTCCAATAAAATGCATGTATTAATAAC